CTACTGCCCCCCCCCCACTGGGAAAGTTAGGTCACCAATGCCCCCCCAACTATATAACCAACAAGCCTCTTCAAGGTTACGTCACAGTTCCCCATCCCCCACCCAACACTGGGAATGCCAAGTCACTTTTTTTTTAATTTGTAAATCTTTTCTGAAAGGCCAATATGGCCTGATGATACGGCTGTTCTGACGTGAATGGCGTTTAGTTGGGTTAGTGTATAGACCCCACAGATGAAGCAATGACGTACATCTGGCTATAATTAGTCCTGACCCAAACCTCCAGAACTGCAGTCAGCACCATTTCCCGGTCATACACCTTACAGCTCGCCCGGCCAGGTGCATGGGACACATCAGAACCCTTGTCTCGGGACAGCAGCCAACGCATTCCTGGCATCTGCTGGGACACAAGCCTGCCAGAGTTGCGTATGAGCGGAGCTCTGCAGCGCATCAAGTTTCCATTGCTGGCGAAAGGGAGAGAGCAGAGATAAACCGGAGGGAACCCCCCGCGGCCTGGTAAATGGAGCTCTGCTGAGTGTTATCAGGCTTAACCCCACCACACACGGAGCAACCCCAAGCAACCTATAAATTTGTGTGCAGAGAGCGGATTTAGTTACCCATGCAGGGATTTCTCTGCAACCGACACCGGAGATCGGCTCTACTACTTGACCGCCACATTTCGGAGCCTCACCAAATCCCTGGTGAGGCATGGAGAATGTGTGACCAGCTTCAGAGCTGTAGTGAAAAAGTAAATCCCAGATCGACCGAGCAAACATCTTCAACGCCTTTCCACCCCCAATCTTTTGACAAGACTCCATTCACACTAGGGAGTTTCAAATCGAGGGTGGAATTGGCGCGATTCTAAACGCGATTTGAAAATGCACTGTAAAAGTGTAAATCGCGATTACGCAAACAAAATCCTGCGACGCCCAAGAAAGGAACTGTCTGAAGGAGCCCTAGAAGCCCACACAAAAAGTACCAAAGGGCTGCCATGTGGCCAGGGTTCTAGGTGATCATGTAAGGGCACTACAGCTAGACATGGTAAAAAGTACCCGTGTACTATGGATAGATGGGCAGCACAGTGGCTAAATGGTTAGCACTTCCGCCTGGCAGTACGAGGGTCGTTGGTTCGAATCCCAACCACGGCACCACCTTCCTGGAGTTTGCATGTTCTCCCTGTGGCTACGTGGGTTTCCTCCCACACTCCAAAGACATGCTGGTAAATTAATTGGTTCCGGTATAAATTGGCCCTAGTATGTAAAGAAATGTGAGTTAGGAACCTTAGATTGCAAGCTCCTTGAGAGTTTAAGGACTGACGTGAATGTACAATATATACACTATATTCCCAAAAGTATTGAGCCGCCTGCCTTTCCACGCACATGAACTTTAATGGCCCCCCAGTCTTAGTCCGTAGGGTTCAATATTGAGTTGGCCCCGCCCTTTGCAGCTATAACAGCTTCAACTCTTCTGGGAAGGCCATCCACAAGGTTTAACCACCTGGTAGGTTAATTCGCTCCGGTCTACATTGGCCCTAGTATGTTTATGAATGTAAGTTAAAGGACCTTAGATTGTATGCTCCTTGAGGGCGGAGACCGACTTTTTTTTTTTCCCTCAAAAAAAAAAAAAAAAAATGCAGATGCGATCAAATACCACTGAAATTAAGTTCCATTTGTGGGGGGGAGGACGTAAAATTTCATTTGGGTGCAGCGTTGCATGATCGCGCAATTGTCAAAAATGCAGCTCCGTAACGCAAAAAAATGGCCTGGTCAGGAAGGGGGGTAAATCCTCTGGAAGGCAAAGTATGCAAAATCTTGGGGTACCCCAGTGTATAATGTACAAATGCTTGCAAGAACATATACCTTTTATTTACACCCCCCCCCCCCCTCCAGTGGAATCAAACTCTCCCTCATTCTCACTCTTTCGTTTTCCTTCTTGCTCTCTACTCCTCCTTTCTTGCTGCCTCTCTTAACCTTTTCAAACTTTACTTCTATCTCTCTCTCTCCCCGTTCTCTCTTTTTGACTTTGGAGACTGAGGATGGCCTGGTGTCAAGAAGGGCTTTTCTCCAGGAAAAACATCAGGACAGACTGATATTCTGCAACAGGGCCAGGGATTGGACTGCTGAGGACTGGGGTAAAGTCATTTTCTCTGAGGAATCCCCTTTCCAATTGTTTGGGGAATCTGGAAAAAAAAACCTTGTCCAGAGAAGAAAAAGAGGTGAGCGCTCCCATCAGTCCAGTATCATGCCAACAGTAAGGCATCCTGAGACCATTCATGTGTGGGGTTGCTCCTCAGCCATGGGAGTGGGCTCACTCACAATTCTGCCCAAGAACACAGCCACAAATGGTCCAAAGACATCCTCTGAAAGCAACTTCTCCCAACCATCTAAGAACCATCTGGCGATGAACAATGCCTTCTCCAGCAGGATGAAGCACCTTGCCATAAGGCAAAAGTGATAACTAAGTGGCTTGAAGAAGAAAACATCGAAACGTTGGGTCCATGGCCAGGAAACTCCCCAGACCTTAATCTCATCGAGAACTTGTGGTCAATCCTCAAGAGGCGGGTGAACAAAAATACCACAAATTCTGACAAACTCAAAGCAACGATTATACAAGAACGGGCTGCCATAAGTCCGGGGGTGGCCCAGAAGTTGATGGACAGCATGTCAGGGACAATTGCGGAGGTCTTGAAAAAGAAGGGTCAACACTGCAAATATTGACTCTTTACATAAACTTCATGTCATTGCCAATAAAAGTCTTTGACACTTATGGAATGTTTGTAATTATACTTTAGTATACCATAGTAACGTCTGACAAAAAGATCTAAAAACACTGAAGCAGCAGACTTTGTGAAAGTTCATATTTGTGTCATTTCTCAAAACCTTTGGCCAGGGCTGTACAGAGCCTACCAAGGTCTCAGCCTCCCCCAAACAGCTGCAATGGTCCTGTTCTCTTCAACTTGTGTCCAGTTCTAGATAAGACATTACAGGGCATGTAAGGAGGGGGCTGGGCACAGAGAGAGATATATATATATGGGAAGGCTTCTTGACAAAGATGATTAAAGCCTAGCACACACGATTAGAAAATTGTACCAAAAATACCTCTTTCGAAGAGATCGAAATTATTTGAAGGGACAAGCACGAAAATTTTCTTGTTCAATACCAGATCGTACGATTTTTTTTTGTTAAATCTGTACAGATTTTGTCCGAAAATACAAAACAATTGCATTACATCACTTCCAAATTTTCTGTTGTACAAAAATTTTCGTAACTTTACTTTTCGATACTAGACTAGCATGCCAAGAAAAAAAAAAAAATGCACAATCGTTTGTCCAATATTCTCATTGTGTGTACGGGGCTTAAGGAGTGAACGTTAACTCTTTCAGCAAAGTAGAAAACTTTAACCCCTTCACGCCGGCGCCTCCCGGGCCTTTATGGGGGTTTCTGATGCTGGGTGGCAGGTTTTAGGGTCATGTGACCGCCGTGATTAGATGTCATGGCAATCACACGATCGGAAAGGTCCTGATCACAAGGAGAGATCGAGACCTTTTCATGGGACGCTGACGTGTTCTGGGAGCACGCGGGGCGTGCTCTCTCAACAAATGATATGCAAATATGCAGCCGCTTGGCATCAAGGCCCAACTGCTGAGAAGCCGCACATTTGTGTATGCTCAGCTTGAAGAGGTTAAAGAACAAGAGTTGTCAGGGAGTCCCCAGGGCCCCCCTTGGAGCAGGGGCCAGGTCGCAATTGCAACTTCTGCGACCCCTGTAGTTACACCAGTGACAATAACAAACCTGCACTCTAAAGCGACACAATGCATTGTGTTACCAACACCATGTGCAATTCGAATCACATTAGGGTTGGCAGCCCTTTCATTTTGAGTAATACACGATAACATGACTGCATTGACAGAAGAATCAGAATTTGTTTTACTGTAAAATTATACTTACCTAGGTGGATACAGAATCCGTTCAATACTGCATCTGCCCCCCGGCAGTTCTAAGTTTGTGAACTCAGCGATCACATGACCACTGCGTTCCCACAGCTGCTCTGAGCAGAGAGCGGTAACCGTCAGTCACCACTCTCTGCCCTGCCTCCACCCGCCCCACACTCTGAAGCGCTGGGCTGTGGAGGGAGAGGGAGCGGAGAGGATCTGAGCCAGGTGTCGCTTCAGACTCGGAGATGGATCCCAAATTTAAAGTCGTGATCTCAGGAGACTGAGGACAGTGTGAGAGGGGTATTTTGATGTGGGACTGAGGATGCTGGTGTCAGAACAGGTTTGCTTTATGACGTTCGATTCAGATCTGTGCATGGGCGTTTGCACGGCAGCCCATTCTTTTTAATGTGGGCAGCACAGTGGTTAAATGATTAGCACTTTCGCCTGGCAGCACTAGGGTCTTTGGTTCGAATCGCAACCATGGCTCCACCTGCCTGGAGTTTGCATGTTCTCCCTGTACCTGCGTGGGTTTCCTCCCACACTCCAAAGACATGCTGGTAAGTTAATTGGTTCCGGTATAAATTGGCCCTAGTATGTAAAGAAATGTGAGTTAGGAAGCTTAGATTGTAAACTCCTTGAGAGTTAGGGACTGACGTGAATGTACTATATAAAAACTATATTGCCAAAAGTATTGGGCCGCCTGCCTTTCCACGCACATGACCTTTAATGGCATCCGAGTCTTAGTCCGTAGGGTTCAATATTGAGTTGGCCCCGCCCTTTACAGCTATAACAGCTTCAACTCTTCTGGGAAGGCCCTCCACAAAAGGTTTAGGAGGGTGTCTATGGGAAGGTTGGACCATTCTTCCAGAAGCACATTTGTCAGGTCAGGCACTGATGTCAGGGGAGGAGGCCTGGCTCACAGTCTCCGCTCTAATTCATCCCAAAGGTGTTCTATGGGGTTGAGGTCAGGACTCTGTGCAGTACAGTCAAGTTCCTCCACCCCAAACTGGCTTCTCCATGTCTTTATGGACCTTGCTTTGTGCACTGATGCACAGTCATGTTGGAACAGGAAGGGGCCATCCCTAAACTCTTCCCACAAAGTTGGGAGCATGAAATTGTCCAAAATGTCTTGGTATGCTGACGCCTTAAGAGTGCCCTTCACTGTAATTAATAGGCCAAGCCCAACCCCTGAAAAACAACCCCACACCTTAATTCCCCCCCCCCAACCAAACTTTACACTTGGCACAATGCAGTCAGGCAAGTACCATTCTCCTGGCAACTGCCAAACCCAGACACGTCCATCAGATTGCCAGACAGAAAAGTGTGATTGGTCACTCCAGAGAACACGTCTCCATTGCTCTAGAGTCCAGTGTCCGTGTACTTTACACCGCAGCAGCCGATGCTTTGCATTGCACTTGGTGCTGTAAGGCTTGGATGCAGCTGCTCGGCCATGGAAACCCATTCCATGCAGCTCTCTATGCACTGTTGTTGTGCTAATCTGAAGGCCACACCAAGTTTGGAGGTCTTTAGCTATTGACTCTGCAGACAGTTGGCAACTTCTGCACTTCAGCATGCGCTGACCCCGCTCTGTCATTTTATGTGGCTTACCACTTGGTGGCTGAGTTGCTGTTGTTACCAGTTGCTTCCACTTTGTTATAATCCCCACTAACAGTTGAGCGTGGAATATTTAGTAGCCAGGAAATGTCACGGATGGACTTATTGCACAGGTGACAACCTATCACGGGACCACGCTTGGAGTCACTGAGCTCCTGAGAGCGACCCATTCTTTCACAAAATGTTTGTAGAAGCCGTCTGCATGCCTAGGGCTTGATTGTATACACCTGTGTCCATGGAGGTGATTACACACACATAAATCGCTGTGTAAATTGACAGCATTCTACAAGAACCTGTGATAAATAAATGGGCTGCTTTACCTTTGAGAAACACGGAAAGAAATCCTCTTTTTTTGTTTAAAAATCGTACTGCATCAAGCTGCATGATTCTGCAGCACCATGTGGTTTGGTGCGAGCAGAAAGGTGTCGTATAGGCAGATGTGTGGGCTGCCATAGAGATGTTAACCGCACAAACATACTATTCGGACCTCTGCTGGAATAATATTTTACTGACTGGACCTCGGTAAATTTTAAATTCATTACCACTGCCATGGGGGTTCAGCTTAGATACTTATGTGGGGTAGGAAGACCTTGCTCACAATCCATCGCAAAGGTGTTCAGTAGGGTTGAGGTCAGGGCTCTTTGAAGGACACTCCAGTTCCTCCACCCCAAAGTCATCAAACCATATCTTTATGGAGCTGGCTTTGTACACAGGGACACAGTCATGCTGGAACAGTAAAAAAGGACCTTCCCCAAACTGTTACACCAAGGTTGAAAGAGCACAATGGCCTAAAAATGTCTTTGTATGATGTAGCATTATCAATTCCCCTAAATGGAAACGGAAACTCAAGTCGTCAATCATTTGAAGGGAGTCTGTGTACTTTTTGAGCATAGCGTATGGGTGCTTTGATTTCTGCTAACTATACCTTTCTGCAACCTCTCTAAAGCCCATCATTTCTGGCTCATCATATCTGCAAGCGATCCTCAGAAGCTGTTCAGCCTGTTGAGCTCCCTAGGTGACAGCTGATAAAGATCTTAATCATCCTTGCAGCCGCAAAGCCGAAGTCAGATTAATAGTATTATCAGAAACTCTCTAAGTTCTCCATGCACCCTTATCAATCAATTATATTTCCTGCACACACCACCTACGCACAGAGTCATCACTGAGCGTTCATCATTAAAGCGGAGCGGTCATACATTTGTTCAATTTACTATAATTAGAGAAGCTTTGGCAAAACCATTAGAATTAATCCAAATTAGGAGTTCAAAAACGATTGGCTTCATAGTTGTGACTTGAAGAGAACCTCCAGCCAAATTAGGGAAAACTCGTATTGTGAAGCTAAGCAATGCAACAACGTGGTTCAGGGCTCGATCACCAACAAGGACAAATGCACGCATTCGGCATTTGGATGTTTTCCTTGAGTTTTGAGCAGGCTTCCTCCTGGCGCTCAAATTTTGTCAAACAACCCTGAAACAGAGGAAAGTCAACTGGCTTCCAGCCAACAAAGACCTGGAAAGTCAAGGGCTTCCGGCCAACAATGACCCATAATGTCAAACTATAAACATGGCTGTAAACCAGGCATATGGAGGTGACTGAACACACCTTATGTTCTTAGAAAAGCTTTGTCCTTGAGTATAATGAAGGGGGCAAGTGTCACTTTCCTTTCTGAAGCTTTTGTTTTCATATTATAGAGCCCTTGTGTCAGGGCTCCAGGGGCTCTCCATCGAAGATCTTAAAGTACTCTGACATTACAACAGGATTACATTCAATAAAATCGGGAACAAAAAGGATATTCAAAGGAAGATCCTTCCACCGATCTCAGGAAAAGGGCTCTCAGCACAGCCTGGATCAATACGGTTGGATGAGTTCTGTCTCCACTGCTGTTCAATAGCTACACAGAAAAAGCTTTTCAAGGTGTTTGTGAAGGTATTGGAATTCCAGCCTATGAACCCAAGGACATATAGAAAAGAAGCTAGGCAGACTATATGTTTTTTGCTTGCGAAGACCTCAACCTTTGGAACTCAACCACTTACTTGGTAAAATTTGTAAGTCTCCGTGAAAATAAAAACAAAAAAAAAGACAAAAACATGGTTATAACCAACAAAAAGAAACTAAGAAATAAACCTAGTGCTTGAAAATAAAAAAAATAGAGCAAGTAATCAACTCCCAATGTCTTGGAAAATGAATCAATGAAAACCTGAAGAACTATGTTGACGGTAGAATCGCCTCGGTCAATCGGTTTTTGGGGATTTAAAGAGAATATGAGGAACAATCTCCCTCTAAGCACATGTGGGCTCCCAGGATCTCGGTCACATTGTGTGAAACCGTCAGTAACGTACACAGTTTTATAATACCCCCTTGAGGTTTTTACTTTACTGCACCACCCCCCCAACCCCAGATCAGACAGGATCAATCTGGCCTTGTTCTGCTATGGGCCAAATAAAGTATATGCACGCCAACATAACAATTTGGCATGCAATGCACCAAACTAACAAGACGGCAACATTTTGTTTTGCATGACAACCTCAATATCTGGCCCATAGTGTTCCTCCCTAGAATTAGTTTTTGGCATTGGAATTGGCATTGTGGCCAGCTTCTGTGGTCTTAGCTGAGTTCTTTTTTAAAACCCCCCCCCCCCCCCCCCTAATTTTTTTAATATATTTTTTTTCAGGCTTCTGCTGTAGCTTGCTTACATAAATGCTATGGTAGTTCCAAAAAAAAAAAAAAAGGAAGATTTACTGACTGGTTTCATAAGTTCTGTCTATGTTTTTGCCTTTGTAGGGATTATGATAATGATTAGTTTTCTGGGTTCCTGGGAACTCTTCTGTCCCTTGCGCTTGGCAGCTGAAGTTTGTATGGTTCACACAGGAACTCTTCAGAGTTGCGCGGTCCATCCCAAGTTCGAAACCCCCAGGTCAGGTTCCGTCAAAATCCGAAGGCTGGTGAACTGGCTTTGAGTAGTTTTTTTTTTGGAATCCATTCCAGCAGCTTTTGAGGTCGCCATAAACTCTCGGGGTCTCCAAAGCAAAGATGAAGCCAAGAGTTTTCTCCTTCTATTTATTTTGAAACAGAAATAAATGTGCCCAGTGAGCGGAAGTCTGGGTATCTATAGCCGTGCTGACGCGATTCCCCTCCAAGCATACACACCATCTGGATTCTCAGCGCAGGGGGCTGCGTGTCATGTGTCAATAAGAGATAATAACTTTCTCTTGATAAGGAAAAAGGGAAGATCAAGTTGAACCCAAGCAAGCAGATCTAAAAGCCCTCCAGCTAGTCCAATTATGTTTGCATACTCAAAAAGAAATCTAGCATCTAGCTTTGCTGGGTTTTTTTGCCTTCCTCTGGATGAGCTGAGGGTATAGGATTAGACCTTTTTTTTTTAAATGGTTGAACTGGATGGACTTTTGTCTTTTTCAACCAGACTATGTAACTATATAAAATGGCTCACTATGCCCTAGTTCAGTGGTTCTCAACCACTGGGCCGTGGCCTCTCTCCTATTGGGCCTTCAGCCAAACTGCAGATCCCCTATCCTAACCTTCCACAGTGCCTCCCAGCTCCCTAAGTACCCCCCAACCTTCCATGGTGGGCCACAGTGCTCGCCAACCTCCCACAATGCCACGCAGCTTACTAAAAGCCTCCCAGTCCCCCATAACCTTCAACAGGAGGGAGCACATACTGCGCGTGTGTAGATTTGTGCATGCGGGAGAGCACATTGCTCTCCCGCATTCACAAATCTAGACATGCGCACAGTGCTCTCCCGCATTCACAAATCTAGACATGCGCACAGTGCTCTCCCGCATTCACAAATCTAGACATGCGCACAGTGCTCTCCCGCATTCACAAATCTAGACATGCAGTGTGCTCTCCCGCATGCACAAGGGAGAGTACCACGTACATATAGATTTGTGGACAACGATGTAGATTTGTGAATGAGGGAGAGTGCATAGCACATGTGTAGATTTGTGGACAAGGGAGAGTGTACTGCACATGTGTAGATTAGTGGACGAGTGAGAGTTGTACCATGTACATAGAGATTTGGGGACAAGGGAGAACACACAGGATGAGGGAGAGCACAGTGCGCATGCGCAGATTTGTGAATGAAGGAGAGCACAGTGCGCATGCGTAGATTTGTGAATGAGGGAGAGCACAGTACGCATGCGCAGATCTGTGAATGAGGGAGAGCACAGTGCGCATGCGCAGATCTGTGAATGAGGGAGAGCACAGTGCGCATGTGCAGATCTGTGAATGAGGGAGAGCACAGTGCGCATGTGCAGATCTGTGAATGAGGGAGAGCACAGTGCGCATGTGCAGATCTGTGAATGAGGGAGAGCACAGTGCGCATGTGCAGATCTGTGAATGAGGGAGAGCACAGTGCGCATGTGCAGATCTGTGAATGAGGGAGAGCACAGTGCGCATGTGCAGATCTGTGAATGAGGGAGAGCACAGTGCGCATGTGCAGATCTGTGAATGAGGGAGAGCACAGTGCGCATGTGCAGATCTGTGAATGAGGGAGAGCACAGTGCGCATGTGCAGATCTGTGAATGAAGGAGAGCACAGTGCGCATGTGTAGATTTGTGAAGGAGAGCACAGTGCGCATGTGTAGTTTTGTGAGTGAGGGAGAGCACAGTGGGCATGTGTAGATTTGAGAATGAGGGAGAGCACAGTGCGCATGTGTAGATTTGTGAATGAGGGAGAGCACAGTGCGCATGTCTAGATTTGAGAATGAGGGAGAGCACAGTGGGCAGGTGTAGATGTGTGGAAGAGGCAGAGCACAGTGCGCATGTGTAGATTTGTGGAAGAGGCAGAGCATTTGTTCGATGCTCATTCCTCATACCCTCCATCCTAATAGAGTGGAACGCCCACAAAACTACTTTTTTTGAACAGGTTTTATGGAATCATGCTTGACCTACAGATATGTGATTTAATCGTAGCACACTTGGTCTACACTGCACCATGATTTATAAACTGCTGGGGCCCCTGAACTGCACTGTAAATTTCATTATAAGGTGAACCCTTTTAAGAATTAAGATTTTTGTTGTTTTGTTTTTTAGATCTATTGAAAATTGCTTGCATCCCAATGTGTCCAACCTGCAGATGATGGCGTACTCCACAACCGCCCAGAATCCTGGATCGTGCCCGAAGACTGGGTGGATCTGAGCGCAATATTTC